AAAAAAAAAAAAAAAAAAAAAAAAAAAAAAAAAAAAAAAAAAAAAAAAAAAAAAAAAAAAAAAAAAAAGGATTTTTGTAGCATGAAATATATTGCATGACTACAGCTTGGCAAGCTACAGAGGAAAAAAAAGACAGGAGTGATGACTTCATGAGTTCTAAATGAATACTGACCAGCAGATATCCCTTGTGACAATAAAGAAAAACAGAAGGGTTCTGCCCAGCATAACAAGCACAAATAAAAGAACAACATACTTTCAAAGCCACAAATTAGCAACCTCAAAATCTACAATTCACCCCACATGTCACTGAGAGTTTCAGCTCCTGACCTGATAGCAATCCGCCACTATAATGTCTTTCAGATTGTAAGCATGGTTTATCCATTTCTATTATATGATGTCAGTGGAACAGAAGAAAACTATCCTCCATACTGGGTGTTTTTGTTGACCTTTTAAATTTCAGAGCAATAAACCACTTTTAAAATGTAAGATTAAATCACCTTTTTACTTTTAGCACAAAGTAAAATATTAAATCACTATAACACTAATCTCCCTTAACCTTAAGCTATCTGGCTAAAAACCTCTTTCTCTCTCAAACACCTAAACTTTTCCTGTTCTGACTCATATGACATGATTTTAGTAGTTTTGAAAAGACCACTCTTCCACAGGAAGTATGACTCTTCTTCAAGAGGGAAGATGAGGGGATTAAAGAAAGAAACCCATCACAACAATAAATACCCTGCTTTCCCATCCCTCAACACAACCTCATCCACACACTCCTCTCTTGCCACCTCATACACAAAGAGTGAAAAGGCACAGGTTTGTTTTTCTTTCCCTCTTGGCAGACTGCTTTTCAGAGACAAGACTGATGCCAAAATCTTACGGGTGGTTACTCATTGGCCGAAGCAGAGAAAAAAGCAGCTACTCTTCTTTCAGGCATTAACAAGTGGTTCTTCCTTGGAGAAGCACCTCTATGGCCTCAGAACAGACTAAGGACTTTCCAACAAGGTAAAATCTATCTAGAGAGCCACAGAGCAGATGTAGATGCAAAGCCAAGATTAAAGCCATATTTTCAACCCAGAAGAGCAGAAATGGCTGCCTCTAACTCAGAGAGACATCTTTTATTTGATGCAGGTACTTTCTACTCAGTGCCGAGAACCTTTCTTAATATTATCATGGATTATACTCCCTCCTCCTTTAAACCCTTCTACTTGCAACTGTTTCATGAAATGGAGCACATGCACAGCAGCTCTTCTACTCAATTAAAAAGCATCTAGTCAGCTAGCCTAATTGAAAATAATATACCCTTATTTCTTACCTCCACTGGATTAGGAACAATCAATAAGTGTATCTGTAAATGCAGCTGCTCTTCTTTTGTTGACTACAGGAAGTGCATAGGCGTATCCATATCCCAATTTGACCAAGTATAGTGATAACAAAAATGTCTTACAAAAATAATTATGCTCTGAAACGTGCACTTGGGAAAAATTCTTTTCTCGAGCTTTGTATTTGATTAATTTCTAAAGACAATACAAAACAGCCCAGACATATTTTAATTTTGTGTTTTGTAATCAACATCACAGCAGCAAAGTCTTAATAGAAACTCTCTTCCACTCTGCTTGTTTCTACTTTGGGCATCGGACAATGTTTTGCTCACTGGTCATTCACAGATCGTCTTTCTTAGAAGTAAATCCATCACAAAGACAAAGAAAAAACCTCGAACTATTAAATGAAAAAAAAACTAAACTAAACAAAAAAACCAACCAACAAACAAAAAGAACCAACCCCACAACAAACTCCAACAATCCTCAGAAATGCAAAAGTCAAAAAGAACAGATGGACCAAATACATCAAATACAAATTCTAGCAGCAGCTTTCCCTTATTTATTAGTAAGGAAGGACCATAGTAAACTTCTTAAGGCACCAAAAATCACATCCATCGTATTTCTCAACACTGCAAAACAGAGAAAATGCTGCTTAGAAACATACTGAGTTTATATCTAACACATTATCTCCTACACAGACTTTATTTCCAAATGTAGTTAAACAACATTTAACGTCATAAAACTACAATGTGTGCCCAGCAGGTCGAGGGAAGTGGTTCTCCTCCTCTACTCCACTAATAGCCTAGCCCAGACCTGGCAGTCACAACTACTATTTGCAAATTCCAATTATCTAGTTATCACTTTTCTCTAACAAAACACAGTCCTCACACTTCAACAGTCTAACTCGTAATCCATGTAAGATTTGAATTTCATTTGCTAAACAGTCACCTAACTTTAATAATTTTCTACTATGAATACATAGATGTGCACATATTTTTTTTCCTGGAGTTATATTTTTCCCTAATGCTAAAAATCAATAAATCAAATTACCGTATCTATTTAAACTTCCTCTGCAACTAAATGGGACAGAACACAACGAAAATGAAGTTATTTTTCATTTATTTTAATTACCAATGATTCATCAGTAATCAGGAGTATCTAGAAGAAAGTCCTTCTGTACTTTCTCTTGACATGAAAGGTGAAATAAAAAAGAATATTGTTTGAGCACCTCGTGCTTTCCAGTCTTCCTCGCTTTAACACACTGTAAAACACCACAATCACTCCTTTCCCTCTGTCATGTTTCAAGACTATTTATATCCTGTTCCTGACTCAGGAAGGTTCCCACATTGTGGGAGTGCTCCTGTCACACAAGTCTCTTTTTGCTGGGAGGCTGCTACCCTAAATGGATGATACTACAAACAGGGAAACAGCTGTGACAAACATCTTGAATAGAACAGTTAATTGTTCTGTCCTGGGAACCACAGCAGACAGAACTTTAGAAATGCTCATAGTTGACAAACTTCCCGGGGCAAACATTTCTGAAAACATTAAATAAAACTTGCCTTCACTTTCGACAAGCTAAAGCCAAGGCCTGCTCATTTAAACCACCCCCTAAATACACCCAAGGAAAAGGAGACAGAAATCCTGCATTGCTTAGAACTGCACACTCTGCAGTGTCTCATCTGAGGTAAACCTGTTATTCTAAACAGTACCACACCACAGTTTTGTAAAAATAAAATCAGCTGGGTTCACACAGCCACAATTCTTCCCAGGTCCATTTAGAGATCTTCTGTCTCCATTTAGAACCTGGATGGGTACCCATGACTTGTGAACATTTAAGACTCTTGAATCTTCCTCAAGGTGTAAGGAAATGAATGTGAATACACTGTAAATACACACCTATTTCACACGTCAGAAAAAGAAAAAAAAAAAAAAACATTAAAGGCAAGAGGCAAAACCCAGAAGTGTTTTGAGCATGTACAATCACCCAAAAGCAACAATTTTTCATCACAGAGAGCAAAAACAACACCCACCCAAATCATAGATAAGCACACAGAATTATTCAGCATCTTTTCATACCCAACAACCTATCAATCCGGATCTAAATCGAATTATCATAAGATGTGTAACACAAACATCAACACATTACACAAAAGAAAAGTGAATATTTATAAACAAACTACTGTGGATCCACTTCAGTATTCCTAGTCGAGAAGAGCAATGCCCCAGGATTTCAATAATGACAGTAAGATTCAGGAGGATGAGTATCCTGAAAAGGGTATCCTACTAATTTCAGTACTCCTCCTTCTTCATGCTTCTCATCTCCAAGGCATTTAACAAAAGCAAGCTTATTTTCACAAAGCTTTATAACGTCTGGATTTTATCTGACAGATGGGAGCACAAAGGGACACTAAAGCACTTGTGTAAACCCTCGCAGAATGCTAGTAAATGCTTTTCCCGCTGTTGTTCTCATTTACATCTGTCAATTAGGTGACTTTACAGAGTTCTCCGCTATCAGACAGCATAGGTGGAGAGTCAAGCTCCAGACTTAAACAGTTCTTGGAACACGTTAACCCCGAGGGCAGCTGGAAGAAGAGGAGCGCGCACGGGTGGGCAGAGGGGCTCTCAGTGTGGATGGGTCAGGAGGGCCCGCGGCGGGGGCAGCGATGCCCCAGCCTGGGTCCCGCCATGCGGCCGCATAGACCCGGCTGCGGGGCGGGCACTGCCCGCACCTTCGGCTGCTGCTTCCCAGCTCTGCCGCTCGTCTTCCCGCCGCCCCTCGCTGTCCCCGGGCAGCCGGGTGAGGCACAGCGGAGCAGCCCTGCTCCCCTTCCGCGGCTCCGCCCGAGACTCACAGCAGCAAAGCGTCCTCCCCCTCACCCTTCCCGCCGGGCACAGCACGGCGTTAACCTGGGCGAGCAGGAGCTGCTCCCGACCCTTCACCGCCTGCCCAGGGGCTCCCCGGGGATCCCCCTCCCCGGCCTTACCTGCCCGTCATGGCTGCGGGGCCGAGGGGCTGCGGGGCGGGATCCGGACTTCGGCTCGGCCGCTGAGGCCTCAGCGGGCAGCGCTAACCCCGCCCCGGCCCGGCCCGGCCCGGGATCCTCGGGCGGGGGCGGGCGCCGCAGCCCGTGGTGACTCAGGGCAGCCCCCCCCTGCCCCGCGCATGCTTTTCCTATAAAGGGAAAAAAACATGGAATAAAGAGGCGGCGGAGCGGGTTGAGGGGGGGAGCCGCGGCACGGTCCCTGCCCCGCTGCCGGAGCCGCTTCGCCCCACCTGGCAGCTGCTACGGGCCTGGCCCGGAGAGGGGCGGCGCTGGCCGAACCGCTACCTGGTGTACAGTTATGTCTGACACACCTCCCTGGCGTGACCTTGTTCCTGTGATCAAAGCAGCCGCGCTGCCAGCCCGCCGGACAGGCTGGAGCACTCGCTGCGGGAGTTTTACCCTCAGGGCAGCAGAAGACACCTCTGGAAGGCTCCTAGGAAGTGGTGATGGCAGCCGTTGCTGCCGAAGGATAAGGGATCGCGTTCCCTACGAGTCGCACCTCCCAAGTGCGACGTTTTTCTTAAAATCTAATCCCTTCTTGCCTATGTTCTGTGACACAATGTATCAATGCTAAGGTGATCCACCAAATGGGATGGGCAGCTCCAGCCCAAAGCAATTTCAAGCGATGTTTTCATCTTATGAGGTAGCCTGATATGATGTGACTCACCATTGCTACACATATTGTTGCAGCTTGGCTCTGATGATGGCAACTCTGTGTTTCCTGGTGTCCAAACATCTCGTTTTTCAGCCCTGCAGTAAATATTTAGAATTGTACAGGTTAAATTAGCATTTGATTGGTTTATTACTTACTTAAATCAGCGTGAAGAATTGAGTTAAAGGGATTTATTTTGGTTTAACTTTTGGCTGAGGAATGAGTAATAGATAATAAGTAACCAGCAACTCAACAGATTTGGCTGAGCAATAGACAAGCTCTTAGTCATTCTCTGCATCCCTATTCTCTCCCCTCATACTGGTGTCTGAGTGCCATCATGTCATGTATTAACCCCTGCAGTTCTCCTTTAGAGAGAAGCACAGATTACTGGGATTGGATGTGCAAAGGAGACTCCAGATGTTTCCAAGGGTGCTGGTAGGAGCACGGCACATGGCAGCACTCGGGCTCAAGCAACCTCCCAGCCACCAGGCCATCAGCACAGCCACTCCTTCCTCTCGCCTCCTGTGTCCAGTGGGGCTACTGTGAGCTGTATCCATCTCAAATACCATCTTTCTCTTACCAACCTGGCAGAGATGGACTTGTCTCCCCGGCAGGGCTTGTCTGCAAAACACTCATCCCAGGGATGGGAACCCAGTGATGGGCACTGGGATGCCTGGGCAGCTCTCAGATGGGCATGGATAAAGGTCTGCCTTCAGTCCCTCCACTATGGGCTGCTCTGAAGAGGCACCATGAGATGCTTCACCCCAGATGGACCTCTACACCCCAAAAATACCCAAAGAAACCGCTGGCACTAGGGAACGTTGGCACATTGTGTTTGCAGAGGAGCACAGACAGCAATTCCTGGTGCTGACCTCCCAGAGCTCCCACACAACCCCAGGTATGTTCCTGCCCACCCCAAATCCCTGCCCTTTCAGCCTGAGAGCATCATCCATCAGCAGCATTAAGGCCGAGGGAATCTTCCCTCACAGAAGTTAAATCCCAAGCAATAGCCCTCAGAAATGCCTTAAAATAAAAGGTTTTAGTTGGACAAAGTTTTGTTTCTATTAAGTTTGGATTTTTTTCCAAACCAGAACTGCAGAACCCATGGAAAGCTTTAACAGGTGGGCCAGACCTGAGATGCCCTGAAGGCAGGTATATGCATCCCTTTCCTCAGGGAAATGAACTGCCAGAGGCCACTCCTGAGGCTCTGAAATGAAACTGGCTTCCTGCACAGAGAGACATCCTCACCGTGTGCCGGGAGCATGCCTGGCCACTGCCTTCTCCTGGGTGAACACACCCCCTGGAGCCCAACCCCGGGGGCGGGGGAATGGGGGAGACTGGCTGAATTCCAGAGAACTCAGTAAAGTTACCCACAGGGACATCAGTGGGGGCTGGGAGACAAGAGTTGTAAATAGCAAATTCTATGGAATATAAACCTGTCCTTGTCCTGATGCTGCTGAGCTTCCTTGGAACTTTGGATGGTTCCTGACAAACTTGGTGTTAGATCAGTAGCTCTGCAT